AATTTAGGCAATTTTTACTATACACAGGAATATCCGTACTAAAAAATGAACTATCTGACGACCAGTACTATGAGTTTAAGCTACTGCATTGCGCGTATAGAATGTTGTGCTGCCCATTCCACAGAATATCAAATTTGGGAACCATTCAGCGTATGTTGCAGCTCTTTGTGGAAAATTTTCCAATTATATTTGGTGAAAATAGCGTATCATATAACGTCCATAGTTTACTCCATATACAGCAAACTGTGGAGCAGGTGGGCGATCCAGTAAACGGTTCCGCATATGCTTTCGAGAATTATTTACAACATATTAAAAATTACGTTCGAAAGCCAACCAAAATTGTACAGCAAATACATAGGAGAATAGATGAAGAGCAGTTTTCACCAGTCTTTCCAAGATCAGACCCCGTCAAGATTAATAAATATATAATTTTTAAAGGTAGCAAATTAATGCAAAAGGAACCTAATAATTATTGTTATATTGAAGGAGATATTCCTGTAGTTATAGTATCAATAATGGAAGACTCTGTCGAACAGTTTAAAGCAAGGCGATTTATGAACCTCAGAAACTTTTATACTCAGCCTTTCAACTCCTGTGAAATAGGTATTTACCTAGCAGATGCAGAACCTTCACCATCTGAAGAATTTTTTAATTAAGTCAATTGACTTGTAAGGCGGTCGTTCTCCCTTTTCTGAAAGATATTTTTATAATGCCTTTACTACATCATATTTAAGATTGAGTGGATTGTCATACTTCTGCTTTTAAATATTTACTGCTTTACTGTGCTTTAGAATAATTTAAATTTAAAAAAAATGTCGTTCAGTCCAAAAAATAAAATTAGGCGGATGGACTTTTCTAATAACCGTAAGTACTTAAATTGTCCTAATTAATTTGAATAAATAGAAAAAAATTGAGTACTAAATTGTTTAATTTTCAGATCAAATATCGAGCTGCAATTGTTCACAAACTATTGGGCGCCTTGAACAACTTGTTCTTGAACTAACAGAACAAGTTCGTTCGTCACGTGGTAAGTGTGTCACGATATTTTATTTAAAATTATCTAATAAAATTTTTTTAATTATTTTTCAGCCGAAACGAAAGTGGTTCAGGAAAAACTGGATATTCTTGTGGAGGAAATGAATTCTTTAAGAGGTATAAGTATGATTTAATGAGCTTTTAGTTAAATATGCATACCTATATATATTGAATTTAAATATATTAAAACTTAGCTGACCAAAAAGTAACACACGAAAAGATCGGGGTCCTTGTGGAAGCTTCCTCCGAGCAGACTGCCACCATAAAAGGACTTACAAAGCAGCACGGACAAGGACAACAAGTGGCTAAACAATTTCCTATCCAGACCGTAGAATCCCTTAAGGAACTAAATACGGAAATTAACAACACAAACCGAGAGCTTTATGTTAGTATAAACACAGTTTCAATTGTTTCTTAAATCCTAATTCATACTTTGTTTACAGATTGATGCGATTAGGATCCATATTATGACTGGGGGAATTTTAAAAAATTTAAAGAATATTTTGGCTAATCCGGTTATATTAGCATACAATGTAGATGGCGTTCAAGGCAAAGCTGCCTTAAAAAAAGAGAGCGCATTCTATGACGTTTTAATTGGTAAGTATTATTTAATTCATTGCCGATTTAATTACAAAATTTAATCTTCACATTTGTTCCCTAGATGCCGTCATGGCAAATGTTGCTTTAATTATAAAGTACCTGCAAGGTACTTATCATTAATTAAAACATCTGAGAAATATGAGGAAGCAAATAATTAAATTGATGATATAATTTCGTTAATATAAATTTAAATATATTAATAAAATTCAAATATCTATTAAAAAGTATACATCAATTTTTTTTTTTTTTTTTTTTTTAGTTAGCTTTTTTTAAAGATTTATTTTTTTTAATTTTAGCTTATTCTAGCTTATTTTTTTCTTCAATCTAGCTTATGGTGACTCTGAAAATCTGGCACCACTGGTCATAGATGAGATATTATCAGAATTAAATTAATAAAGTTGACTTTTTATGAAAAAACAGCAATGTTTTCTTTTTTGCTACTTTTTCAGCTATTTTAGAAGAAAGTTGGCTACTTCTAGCTACTTTCAGCCTCCGGTTTTGCTACTTTTGCTGAAAAGGTTTCGGCAACACTGGTGGTTTGTTAGAAACACCATACTGCACAGATACCTGAAACCAGCGTTTGCAAAAACTACTCTATAGCAGCAATAGCAATAAAAATTGTGCTATGCTCTCGCTACCGCTCTCATTTTTGACGAGAGCCGTAGCAGAGTTGTAGCCTAACAATAAAAAGTTTGTGCTCTGCTATGCTCTCAGTTTCGTCTCGTCAAAAACTACAGCAGTAGCGAGTAGCACAAAAACAACTGATGTGCTACGCTCTGCCGTAGCGGTAGCTGAAAACAGATAGCGAAAGCGATAGCTGAAAACAGCGAACGAGATGAAATCATAGCGAGATGAAAACGGAGCGAGATGAAAACAGAGCGAGATGAAAACAGAGCGATATGAAAACAGAGCGAGATGAGAGTAGGACAAACAGCAGATTTTTATACCCTGAACCCATTTTCAATGGGAAATCAGGGTATAATGGTTTTGTTGAAATGTATGTAACAGGGAGAAGGAGGCGTGGCAGACCCCACAAAGTATATATATTCTTGATCAGGGTGACGAGCTGAGTTGATTTGGCCCTGTCCGTCTGTCTGTCCGTCTGTCCGTCTGTCCGTATGTATGAACGCGTCGATTTCAGAAGATATAAGAGCTAGAGACTTCAAATTTTTTTTAAAATGTCCGTAATTACAGCGCGCATATCAAGTTTATCATTAAAAATCGATAACTCATCTCGATCTTTTTTTATCGATAAAAAACCTTATCGAAAACCAGTTATAAAATTATATCTTCTACACCTTTATTGCTAGAGTCTCCAAATTTTTAATGTATGCTTATATGCAATTTATACAATTTCGGTTTTTGTTAAAATTTACCCCCACCTCTAAATTCACCCCCTCACCCTCACTTTTGTAAAAAGCGTATTTCAAATACTAGAGACTTGTGCTTTGGCATATTCATGTTATAATCATAATCTAAAAGTTTCATGAAGATCGTACGTCCATAAAAAAAGTTATTAAACAATTAAGTTCTCATAGTAAGCGCACACTGCAGCCCATGCGTGTTTATGCGTGGTTGCTTGTATGTGTATGTGTGTGTGTATGTGTGTGTGTGTATGCGTTTGTGTCTGTATGCGTGTGTGTGTGTATGTGTGTCTGTATGTGTGTGTGTGTATGTATACCTGTGTGTGCGTACGTGCGTGTGTGTGTGTGTGTGTGTGCGTGTTTCTTGTGTAAGCTGAAAGTCGCGAAAAAAGTATTGAAATATCTATTGCTCCAAGGGTTCAGGGGATCTCGTAGTCGAGCAGTCTCGACTAGAGCTTTCTTACTTGTTTTTGTTTGCTTTTACTGCAATTTTTGGTCGGTTTTCGAAATGCACCGTTACTTTTTTCATTTTGCTTTGTGGTAGAGAGAAAATTTGACACTTTTTCATTTTGCTTTGTGGTAGAGAGAAAATTTGGCACTTTGAAGTTTTAATTCAATGTGCAAACATGCCACCGCAAAAAAGGAATTTTAATATTAATAAATATTTCGATGCAAGTGATGACGATTACGTTAAATGCAAAAAATGCGAAAGACTTTTAAAAAAGGATCGTGTTTTTAATTTAAAAAAGCATTTATTGTTGCACGAAATACAAATCGATGATAAAGGAAGTGAGATTAGTGATTCTGTTGCCACGTCTAAAAATTTAAAACATCAACTAGTAAAAGTGAAAATTAACAGAAAAACATTAATTCGGTCATATATTGGCCTTGTAACTGAAGAAAGCGTGCCATTCCATGTGCTTAATTCAATTAATATGCGCAATATAATTGACCCCATATGTCAAGGGCTTGAAGCAAAACATGGAATAAATTTTAAATTGAATGGAAGCAAATGCAAGTCTGTTCTTAAACACGCTGCAGCGAATGTTCGACGCGAAATAAAAGAAGAGAGTAAAAATCGCCTATTATCTTTAAAAATTGATAGTGCAACGCGGCTTGGGCGAAATATTTTTGGCATCAGTGCACAATTTATAAGCAAGAATGAAATAAAATCGCAAATTCTTGGCATGGTGGAACTTAAAGGAGCTGACTCCAGCAAATCTAAAAATCTAGCTAAGGAAATTATTTCTGTTTTAGAAAAGTACGAAATATCTCTGGGCCAAATCGTATCAATAACATCGGATAATGGGGCCAATATGTTAAAGACTTCAAAAATTTTGTCACAAATTTTGTACACAAGCGATGAAGATTTGGACGAAACTTTTATTGAGCAAAAGAATATTGAGTACATAAGACAAATTCATAATTTTGAAAAAAATGAAAACATGTTTGTGACTGATATACAAATATGCCGATGTGCAGCCCACACTGCACAGCTTTGTGCACTTGATGTTACCAAACACGCAGTTATAAAGAAGTGTTTATTTCAATGCCGCAACCTTACAGAATACATCCGAAAGTCTTCAAACGGCTACCGTGATTTATTTGAACTTAAAAATTTTAAATTACCTCAATTGGATTGTGCTACAAGATGGGGATCAACCTTCAACATGGTTAAAAAACTTCACAACGCAAAAAGTATATTGGATATAATCGAATCTGTGGAAAATCAGACAGAAGAAGAAAATTTTGAAGCAAATGACGCTTTATGGGATTTTATGGAGTCATATATCACTAGTATGGCTCCACTACAAAAGGCAATAGTTCAGTTCCAAGCAGAGCAGTTGCATTATGGAAATTTTTATGCTGTTTGGCTAACTTGCAAACTAGCCACTAATCAGATTTTATCGAAAAACTCTTCAAATAATGATTCACTAATTTCTATAATTGCAAGCAATCTTCTTCAAAGTATGGAAGCACGAACAAAAACATTAGTGTCAAACGTGGGCTTCGACGCTTGCCTTTATTTGGACCCCAGATTCCATAATATTATAGATAATTCCCAAAAAGAAAGAGCAATCGATTTTTTAAACACATTGTGGGAAAAAATTAAAATTTTCGGTTCCAATCCCAGTATGACATACTCAAATAATTCATTGGATACAGACGCTGGACACACCAAAGACAATAATTTCGAGCTGTTAGACGATTTTTTAAGTGCCAGTATGGTTGTTCCAAATGAGTCAACTAATGTCCATGCAAAGATTGAAACACTAAAGTTACCAGTGATGAAGGCGAATACAGATGTTTTATGTTTCTGGAAATACAAAAAGTCAACCGATCCCGAACTTTACGCCCTAAGCAAAGTATGTTTTGCTATACCGCCAACTCAAGTAAGTATTTCGGTTTTAATAAATACAAAAAATACAAAGCTAAAAACAATATATACATTTCTTTACAATTGCAGGTTACAATAGAGAGAGCGTTTTCCTCGTTGAAACTGGTGCTGTCCGATAATCGAAATCGATTAAGTCATGAGACTTTGGAGAACATACTTTTAGTTAGGCTTAATTCGAATCATTTAGATAGTGCTATAGAGAATTTAAGTTTATTTGAAAATGAAGATTAGTATATGTTTATTTACTTTAGTTTCTAATTTCGTCACTGAAATAGGTTTTTTTTTTAATTTTTTATTTTTTTTTTTAATGTCTTTATTTGAAAATGAATATAAATAAAGATTTTGAGTATAATTTCTAATTTAGTAACTGAAAAAATGTTTTTTATTATTTGATTTCTGTAACTACACAATTTATCCCTACGTTAATTTGACATCAATCAAAAATTGAAGTAAAAATAAACACAAAACAAAATGCGGCTGCTCAAATCGCTCCCATTTGCCAGATCTGACGGCAAAAAATCTAAAATGACAGCCCTGCTCATATCGCTCTCGCACATTTGTTTTACTCTCATCTCGCTCTGTTTTCATCTCGCTATGATTTCATCTCGTTCGCTGTTTTCAGCTATCGCTTTCGCTATCTGTTTTCAGCTACCGCTACGGCAGAGCGTAGCACATCAGTTGTTTTTGTGCTACTCGCTACTGCTGTAGTTTTTGACGAGACGAAACTGAGAGCATAGCAGAGCACAAACTTTTTATTGTTAGGCTACAACTCTGCTACGGCTCTCGTCAAAAATGAGAGCGGTAGCGAGAGCTCAACGAAATGCTACGAAATAGCAGAGCATTTTCAAACGCTGCCTGAAACTAGCCACTGTTTTTGATACAATAAACCAGCACTCGAGTCGGTACAATGACCGGTTGGAGTGGCACAATATTTTGAATAATCTTAGAATGAGCAAGAAGCATTTCGCTCCATGAATCAGATCAATCGTTTAACTTATCTTTAAATACAAACGATTTGTGACTCCCTAATTAACAAACTTGATGTATTATTAAATTGGGCCGAAATCCCGGCAGTACTGCAATACCGGGCCAACCCGTGACAGAGGTGGAGCAAGCCCCTAGCACTCCGTCTGATTCCAAAAATCAGTTTAACATTTGTTGTCCTCCAATGGAGAAACTATCAGATGTTAAGCTGATAAGAACAGATACTACACTTTGATCTTAGCCATAAGGCCGAGAAGCGATAACTGTTACAGTCAAATATTCACTACCTCATTGGGCTACAGTTAAAACCAGTTGAGAATTGTAAATGCATTTACGTTGATTACTTATTGCCTTAGTGTACGTGCTTTTGTGTGGCATACTCTAGGGGTTTCTTTGCAAGAGCAAATTTACTATAATTCAGAACTAGTTAACGTCAAGAAGAGGTGGATGTGAATGTGTGTAGGTGTATGTACGTGCATGTCCATGCATAGCCGTCGTGTAATCACATTCAACCATTGCAGCCAAAATAGCTTTTTTCTCGTCAAATCTGGCTTTTTCCGAAGACCAATTGCGGGAAATATTTGGGAATTGCAGGAAACGGGAATTCCGGCTTTTTATACCCTGAACCCATTGAAAATGGGAAATCAGGGTATTATGGTTTTGTGAAAAGTATGTAACAGACAGAAGGAATCATCGCAGACCCCATAAAGTATATATATATATTCTTGATCAGGACGACGAGCTGAGTCGATATAGCCCTGTCCGTCCGATAACTTTTTTTTATCGAAAACAACCGAAAAATCGGCATGGTTTTTTCGGCCTAATTTGAACACTTTTAGACCTAGAGACCAGTGTTGCTGGAGACTTCAAATTTGCGTTGTATATAAAGTTAATGGAAAACTTTAAAGATTATGAATTTTATAAAAAGATAAAAGATTTAAAGATTAATTGCGACTAATCGCGGAAAAATAGAAAAAATCGATTAATCAAATGATTTTTTTGAATGCGCCTAATTTATTTTTTATGAACTCCTTTTAGAAGCAACAGTAGCGACAAGAACAAGAATATAAATGTTTATTTATTTAAAATTGAGTTAAGAAATAGTAGTTGTGAAAGGTGCTCTGTTGCACCCGCATTGGAAAAACAATACCGACAAGCTATAACTTAGGGTATATAGTACGCATCTCATTCCAGGCGTTGACGACATAAATCACACTCACATAAATCGAACTCAACTTCGCTAGTAGATGAGCCGTCACTAGTTCTTCGTAAACTTTCATTTATACTATATATATATATATCTGAAAGCTCCGCCATTTGTTGTCGTATGCGCTTCATAACTGAACCCAAGGCAATAATCCTGAAAATGCATATTTTTGAAGCGAGGATCCAGCAACGTTGAGCCGAATTCCACTCTAGAAGCTCATTCTGTTGATACATTAATCAATAATTTTAATAAAATAGTTAAACTAGGCCCTGACCAACTTTGCCTTTGCTGCAAGGGGCTTTGGTTTCCACATCAAGTAGACAATTTGTTATCAATATATTCTTGAGAATAGTCAGAAATATCAGAGAATTCCATCAGAAGATGGTTTTTAAAAATTTCGAAAGTCTTGTAGCCGCATAATAAAATTAGGTAAACTGCCAAAAAATGCCATTACAAATGGTTTAGATTTTCCGAGTCTTCCACAATGCTTAGAAGATCTGACACCGTTGGAAGAACGTTTAATATCTCCACGACTTTCATTTATGATTATAAAATGTTTAGGGCATGAGCGTCAGACTGCAATAAAAAGAGCTGTTGTTAATATCCCGATCCTAGTCGCCAATGTCGTCACATCACTCCCAAGGGCTTTTTATGAAGCCGAGGTTGTTCAGCTTTACCTCAAACGCAGAATGGAATATAACCATGATTTTATGGCTGAAACCATTAGGCCACTTAAAATAATTACCGCCATGCGTTTTTTAGTGTTAACAGAACTTCACCAAAAGCATACTATTTCTATTAATAAAAAAAAAGAAGACATTCTTTTTTTTCATCAGCTTCTCAAAGTATACCATTCTTTGCAACAGCTGAAAAGACGCTGGAGGCCCAAGAAAATGTAGAAATAGAAGAGCTTAATCCAGGAGGGCAAGAAACATTATTAGACAGCATTTAGACAGATGATATTAGTAAGCAAAAAATTCAAATGGCTCCGGGCGAAGGACAACGACCCCTTGATTTGATTGGAGATGATGATGTAGTGGAATTATCTTTTCCAACTGTCTTTGCAGGCAATAAAAGGAAGTGTTCGGTTAGGTCTTCAACTATTGTTAGATCTGAGCTTAGAAACGTTGATAGGAAAGGTTGTAGAACCCATAAAATATTTTATTCTTATAAAAAGTTGGAAATGATTTATATTAGAAGCAACACTTCCAATTGTCTGCGTAAGCACACTGCTCCTCGCAGCATAACAGCAGTAAAAGCTCTAAGTGATGATCACATGAGCAATTGAAGGGAATTCGGTCATCTCCAGCTCACTGGGAAGGTAAGAAGAAAAAGGTTATGGCAATGATAAGACAGTTTGATTTGCCAACCTTTTTCATTACATTGTCGGCTGCTGAGTCTACCACCCAAAATTAGTAATTTTCAAAAGAAATGTAGATAAAGTAGAACTTTCAGAAGAAAGCGTACCAGCTTTACAGTTTTCAGAAAAAGTCAGACTTATTAAAAAAGTTCTTAAATTAATGAAGAATGAAGGCGGTATTTTCGGCAATCATCCAGTTATGAAATATTATTAGCGTGTTGAATTCCTACAAAGAGGTTCTCCTCATATACACGGAATGTTTTGGCGTAAACATGCCCCCAAAGCAGATTTTGTCAATGATGAAAGTAGGCAGAGGTGTATTCCACCCGTAATAGAATTTATTAACAAATTTATTCCTTACCCTTCAATGCCACAAACAGAAATTCTTTTTCCTTTGTCGGAAATTTCTCGTCTCAACAGTTCTCATCACAAAAATCTCCAAAATATTAAAAGTTTCTTAAATATATCCTTCGATAGTGAAACTTTGCTATCCCTTAATTCATTTGATAATTTTTTCATGATAATATTAATTAATTAAGTCTGGGTTAAAGAAACACAAATTTTTTTTTAAACTCAGTTTTAATGCAATTAAAATAAATGCATATAATAAGCATTTACTTTCCTTGCACATATATTGATATTCAATTTATATTAGATTCTGAAGTTGCTTAGAACAATTGCAAAATTTGCCTGCAAATTCGCCTGACATTTTTACTGTTGGCCTCTTTGATCATTATATTCAGCGCCCTTGTGATTTAGAAAACATTTCTGACTTCGCTGCAATTTCAATAAAAGCCAAAGATTGACACGCCAAAATGTTGATGACGGAGAAGAGGATCTGAACGAACACGTAGGCGCTTTTTATCCTCTTCAGGATGCAAGTGGTTTTATGAGAAAGATAACTAAGACTCGTATAATTAGATATAGGAGCTTTAACATCAGGAAAGATAGACAAAACCACTTTAGGGAATTAGTAATGTTATTCTTTCATTGGAGGCAGGAGCACACTGAATTAGTTCAGCGATATTGTGGGGAGTTTTATTGGATGAATGAGGAAATCATAAAACTTTAACTTAAACCCAATCGCAAGTTGGACAACAATATTCGTATAGTTAGAAGGGGAACTCGAAGGGAAACTTATTAAATTTCATAAAATCACTAAATTTTAAACAAAAGTCATTTTTTTCACATGTTCTTCACAATGCGCATTTCAGAAACGTATTTTATGAGTTTTTTGGCAATGGAGCTGGAGTCGGAAAAGAGTTGACTTATTTCAACACTTTATCAGTCGTTGACAAAATTGTATAATACTTAGCCAGTCTCTAATGCAAATGGTTCCACACTACATACAATGTTTTCTCTCCCTGTGAATAAGTCCGGATCTACATTTAAAGAATTGAGTGCTGATTTGCCTAACACTATGAGATCAAACTTAATTGATCTTAAAGTATTAATAATTGATGAAATTTCAATGGTTGGGGCAAAAATGCTGTCTTATGTTGACTTTCGTCTTAAACAAATCTTCAATAATAGAGAAGCTGTAATGCAGCAATGAGCAAGTTCCAGATGAGGTTATTCATCTGTTCGAAATTAATGCCGATGTTGATAGGCTTAATTCAATAAATCTTAATTCAATTTCAAGCGAACGCATGTAGCAAGTGCAAAGGATTTTGTGAAAGCCACACACTTAACGAACTTGGCTAAAA